AAGCGAAAACATGCGCTTTATATTAATGTGCTTGGTTTAAAGGGAATACCATCTCTTGAGTTCACCTGCTATTTGAATACTCTACAGCAGTCCGATCAATATTTATGCAAGTGAACAACTCTCGGCTGAAGTCTGAGGACCTGTAATGGTACCTAAGTATGCAGTTTAATCTAAAGCTGGCAGAAATGAATCAGGAATGATGGTAAAGGGAAATGTGACTTCTGGAGATGAGGGGTATGTTATGCTATTAAAGGATGAAGCTCATTTGTCTGCAAGCAGTAAAATAAGCACTGTGTTGGCCCACAGTCATTCTACCTTTTATTGCTCTGAGGACCAGCTCCAGCTCTCATATCTGGATGACAATACAGGTTGGAGTTTTTGCTCAAAATCATCACATTCACAAACGTGTACCTGCATTGTACTCAAATATGTTTTTTTTTAAAGCTGCATCAAACATGATTTTTGTGCAATCACGAGCACCCAGTGGGGCTGCAGAGAAAGAGAGAAAAGCAGCGCACCCCCACAAACCGAGACACTGGAGATGTGCTCCATTTGCCCAAATATAATTCTCGTGTCAGGTGTGTACACTACTCCACCCACAGGGAATGACAAATTGAAACTTCTCGTAGCAGCAGTAGGATGGCGCTCCCTCGGGTGAAAGCCGGACTTAACAGTGTTACATCGTTTCCTTTCTCACTGGAAAGCAGGAGAGGCTGTATAGTTTGCTAACGTCACTTTACAGGACTTCTAGGTCTTTGCAGTTCAATTTGACCACTCTCTAACATTCAGTGCTGCCATTGTGTGACATTGCCATGGGCTGCTTTAAAATAGAAAAATATTCCCCTTACATACATCTCCTGCTAGGACTGACACTGTAATTTAGGTCTGTTCTGCGACATGTCTTGTACAGTACACATGATGAAGGTGGCTTATGATAGATTTCTGTTGCAGTGATGCAGTGCAGTCTGAGCTGCAGAGATATTACAATGTAGAGTACACTCAGACAATTGGTTGTGGATGAATACAGGCTTGAGGCATAAAGAGTGAATGTGCAATATGCCTTTGCAAAAGCAAACAGCAGCTCTGCTGAATGTAATGCAGAGGACTGTAAAGCCACAGTGACTCACTTTAAATTTCACTCAGATAGCCCTCCAGGATGCCCTTCTTCTTTCATGCAAACACAGAGAAAATGACAAGCATCATAAGGCTATTACTGTACAAACCAAGTATTGTACAATATTTTGCGTGATTGTGTGATTGCATGAACTACGGCTTTAATATTCCAGCACAGCACTCATGATCATGTTATCAGGCAGAAAATAGAACAGGACACAAAACTGAAGGAACATAACTCAAATCATTTACACCACTCTGCCAATGATGGAGCAGTTTCAAGCCCAGAGCTTTCCGCAGAGAAAATAACAATGCAGAAATACACTGAGCAGTGCACTACACTCAACCACAAGGGAGGTCAAAGCTGACGGCTAGAAAGAATTCATATTCAGGGAGCTATGAAATATGAGCTTTGTGTGCTGCCAAATTGATTTAGCTGTAAAAATTCTTTTCATTTTGTTCCATAAAGATGCTCATACTTTTACAGCTCCCGCCGCCTATAGAAGCAGGCCTCGATGATTTGCTTAGAATTTACAACCAAGGTCATAATCAAAGCGGGTCTCCCTTTGCATGCTTAATGCCGCCTTGAAGAAGACTGGAATGGAAATCATCCTTTTCACTTCAAAAAGTCGGTAATTCTCGGCTACTCTGATTAGTTTAATGCTTGGATGGATAGGCCCTGCTCCCTGAGTTAAAAGAGAATACCAGCCAAAGATTTTTAAATTCATCATTCTGGTGCCCCGTGAAGACTTGCTGTTTCCCACACAGGAGCTGATTTGTTAAAGATGGAAAAAGTAACTGTGATAGCATCTGGAATAATTTACCGGGATAAAATCAGTCTGACTAGTGAATGACATTTGGACAGGAAACATCAGACACAGCGACACAGAGTCCACAGCGCAAAGACTGGACTGACTGTGTGAGTCCCTCATCAATGGAGCTCTGTACTGATTGTAAAGCCACAGTGAGTCACCTCGAAATTTAGTGACACAGCCTGTAGACGTATCTCATAAAATGTGTGCTGTCATTCCCATCGACAGCTTGTACTGCAGAGCAGGATGACAGGATGGATTGTTGTTTCTACTTCTCAACTTCAGGACACTGTTATTTGTGTTCAGAATTATTCAAACAAATCAATGTGACATGATAATTATGACATGACATGCTGTAAAAAGCAGCATTGCTGTCTGTTGCACTGATATGACACCAAGTTTATAATATAGCTCTGATTTATTCAAAATCTTGTTATATTATTTATATTTGTAAATAATTCCCAGACAAGCGACCAAATATGCTGTTTTGCTGAACTGGAAGTTAACATTTATAGATTACTTGCAAAAAGCAGAGAATGGGCCAGGTAGTAAGCATAAGAAGTAATAGCTGAGCACAGAAACAAAAAAGTGCCAATTTTTTTTATTTTATTTTGGTCACTTGGGGGCAGCAGAACACGCTGAAAACTCAACAGCTAACATATTATCCATTTAAAAAGTTGTAATGCATGGGTTTGTGTTTCTGCCCCTGTGATAATTATAAATCCAATATTCCACCTCCTGAGAAAAAGATTTTTGGCCACTTGATTTTTGACTTCATTCTTCAACCAGCAATGTTGTTAATTTTGTCAATCTGGAATCAGGAATCAGGAAATAAGAAAAAATATGTTATACTACTTTACAAACTGTTTGATTGACAAATGAAAGTGCCTTAGCAACAAAGATGCTCAACAATCCTGAGCATTTCCACTTCTATGATGTACAATAGCTTCATTTGATCACATTTTAAAAGGAGGAATTTTCATGTTCTCAAGTTGAAATGTAATCTTGACATTAAAATTCCTTGAGCAGAGTTAGAGCAAAGGCCAACTGTTTGTCCACCTCCAACTTACAAATGTTGGTAAAAAGCTCCATCCATTTCTTCAAACGCACGCACACGCACACGCACACACACACACACACACACACATACCGACCCAAAGATTTGTGGTTGACAAAGCAGGGAGGAGTTGCCACCACTCTCTGACTGCACCACTGAACCGGAATGTGGTCCAGTGAGGAAATCCAGACATTTCCAAATTTATCGTTGAATAAACTGGCAACGTTGAGAGCGGCTGACAGGCCATTTATCGTGGCAGGCGCTGGCCCAATGGCATGCACGGACAGGGCTGCTGTGCTTTGATTTCCTGTCCTGGCCACCATGACAGATGAGTTACAGAGAGGGTGGAGGCGACGCAGCCTCTCACCACCACAAGGCTTCACCTCATGCCCACCAGTTCAACCACGCTTGTCGCTGCTTCCAGGACCCTCAGGGGCCATGAAGGTGGAAGTGGTGGAGATCCTGATCATAGAAAGTCATGGGTGCTTTGACTCCATCAGTGCTGAACAAAAAATATACTATAAACTGAGTCTAATATCAGCTGATGAAATGACAAAAAGCAGTGGTGGTCAGAACTACTTTTACAACAGCACCGACTGGTCAAAGCAGACAGTTTCAAAGGAGGATTTTTGTAGGATTTGAAGATTACAAGTACGGATTAAAAAATACTATGTGCTTCATTCTTAAAATTCAGCTCAGAGCTGGAAAGAGGAGTGAGTAACATACAGAGCATATTAAAGCTCAAACCATATCCAGAGGTTTTAACAATCAGGCCAAAGCCAGGAGAATCTATTTACTCTAGAAATAGCAAGGTTAGTAAAGTTCACAAGAGATTGATTGAACGATTTTGTACAATAACACGCTAATGAGATCATTTTCTGATGAAAATGAGTCAATAATAAATGGCTGAGGGGAAGGGGAGGGCTGCTGTAACTCCTCAGATAATATGCAGCGGCTTGAGAGCCCATTCAGGGGCGGCAATAAGAGGCTGGTGACAGCAGCATTTGGGGAGAAAACACTGCAAATTAGAGGCAAAGGGAGCACATTTCAGTGCACAGGCAGTTCATTTTTCACATCAGTGTCTACTTTTGTTCCCGGCAAGCTGCCAAAGACATTGATGTAGGCACTATCCCTCCTCCACAGCAGTAATTATGCTGCTGGCCAATGCTTGATTAAAAGATCTAATCTGCAAACTTAGTGTTCAACATTTCCAAACAAGTTCCAATGCTTTAAGCCTGTTTTCTGTGTCTTTGAAGGCACTGGGATCTGAAAATGTTTTGTCATGGGCAGCGGCCAATGAAGTGCAGGGAAACATCCTTTTGCTTTCTATTCTGTGTCAGGGTGAAGGTGTAATTGCACCAGCGGATGTATTATTCAAGAAGAAAGCATGGCATGGATGGATATTGCTTTAACCTGAGTGAAATAATAAAGCTTTGAAGACAGAAGTCAAGCTTTCTTTCTGCCTGCAACAGGACTTAAAACAAGCAAACTGTGTTGCTTTTTCACCTAGGGCTCAATTATGGCTTTACTAAATTATCATTTCACATGGTAGCAGAGAGCAGGCTTCAGAAAAATGAAAATTGTGAGGTTAGTTTGGCAACAAGATAACAGCTAAATAAATCCACAATTTAAACTTTAAAAATAGCAAATTACTGTAAGAGTATGGTCACCACAATATATTACAAGCTCCTAGTAATATTATTATATATTATTATGTATTGGTCCAATAATGTCACGATACATTGGCTGTTGAGTATCACACACTCACTACAGGGATATTATTACACAGATCAGATTACGAAAATACCATAAGGTACAACAAGGTCACCATAAATGTACTAGCGATGAGCACAGACACATTACAAGTCCCTGCAGGGATGTTTTATTGGGACATTATAGGATTTTTTCCCTCAGGATCACAGCATCTGACCACACCATGTGCAGCCGCATCCCAATAAGAAGCCCTCAGAGACAATGGTGCTGCTGACAAAGTAATAAATAGCTCTAAGTGTCCTTACCCTCTCTGAGCAGATGGGAGTAGATGAGCCAGAGGAGCAGCAGGCAGCAGAGTGACGCACCTCCACCTGCGGAGAGCGTCTTCACTCCAGACTGCATCCTACACCTTCAGCCTTTCAGATTATCCAAACTTTGAACCCTCGTGCCGCTCAGATGTCAAGCAGATCAGCAGAAGAGTGGCTAATCCAGTGGCGTCTCCACAGCCTGTCCTCGGCATCCATTTTGAGGTTATAATAGGAGAAGGACTGATAGTAATCCCCCCTTGCTTTTCAAATTCCCTCAGCGAGCCGCATATCCATCCAGGCTGCTCAGCACACACACGCACGCACGCACACACAGAGGGTGCAATGTCACCAGATCTGGCCAAGTTTACGCAGCTGTGGTTTCAGGAGCTGAAATTCACAGGCTGGCTTCTGCAAAAAAAAAAGTATGTGGAGGAAGAGGAGTGAGCAGCAGCAGTCCCCCGCAGTTTTGATCCTCACACGGAGATGCTGATGATGCTGGTAGTAAATTCAGCCGCTCAACATCCCCTGAACGCCGCTGTCACCTGTTATTTCCCCTCCTCCGCGCTCCGCACTGTTATTATTATTCCAAACCAACTTCTGCGCCGACTAGCACCGGCTAGCACCGGCTCTGTGTGACTCTACAGAGAAACGCGCAAGTTAACCCAGGCGGACATGACGAACATACCAATCAGCAGGGGAAACTTGTCCGAAAACGCAACCACTCCAGCGTCCCAAAACACGGCGTTCGAAAAACAGCTAAAGGCGCAAATGCGTCATATGTGGCCACATATGCACAAAGCAGCGCGGGCGAAATGTCACGTCAAAACAAGAAGCGGCGGGTGTCACGCAGCAGCGCACCGCCTCTGGAGCAAAACGCACTCCAAAGCGCGTCAATACAGGCGGTGCAGTGAAGTTGGACACACTTGTCACCTGTATGAGCCTTTGTGGAGGCTCTGGAAAATTGTCAGTGATGATGCCGCGCACCTCGGACTAGAGGAAAAAGCTCCTGTTGGTTTTAGAGGACTGTTTTAACCAATCCTTATTCTGTCCCGGTCGGAGCCATTTGCATGCAGGCGACGCAGAGGAAGAGGATTTCCCCTCTTCAATCCATGGAAGCAAACACTGCTGCTGCTGCTGCTGCTGCACCCTGAGTTGCCTTGAGTTACAAAAATCTGCTCTCTCTCTCTCTGCTCTATCTCTTCTCTCTCTCTCTCTCTCTCTCTTCTCTCTCTCTCTCTTCTCTCTCTTCTCACACACAAACACCACACACACACACACACCACACACACACACATATACACACAGTGCCCTAATTCCTTCCGCAAAGTGAGAAAAAACTTTGAGCTCCCAGGCTATAAATCCCAAACTGTAGATGATGATGATGCTTATTTATACACAGTAAGACGTCCCATCTCAGCCCACAGGGAGACTCAAAGCAGCACCAACCTCCCCCACACATTCTGACATGTTACTTTTCTCCATGTCTTTATGCCCTCTTTCATAGGTAGAAAACGTCCTTGGGGATTGCATGGTCTGAGGACTACAGTTAACATTTAGCACGCTGGCATTCTGGGAAAATGTGAGAGTTCTGTTCGAGGACTGGCGATGTAGCATGTGCAGTGCCTCAGAGCTCTTTAAAGCAGAAGTTACAAATTATATATTGTCTAATATCAAGTCTCAAGTGTGCACATAGGGGCACATGCTACCCCGAGTGTGTGTGTGTGTGTGTGAGAGAGAGAGAGCGTGCTAAACCCCTGCAGATGCCAGTCTATCTTCTGAAAGAGCACCATTTAAGACTCCCTTGCCACTCGAGGACCATTACTATAACTCACCCCCTCACACACACACACACACACACCAAATTCCATGGCCAGTGAATGTGCACTTTATTAGCAGATGGAGAAGTTCCCCCTGTGTGCTGCTGTGCTATCAGCCTTTCACTGAATGGGTTTTATGATGACGTATTGGCCCGGGCCAAGGCCTGTCACATCATCACTGTAATATATGAAAAATTACTGGGACTCACCCCGCAAAGACTATGCATATGTTAAAGGGATGCTTTGCCGATTTCCCACCATACTGCCACATCAAAGCGTCATGTCTGCTGTTGATATTTTCTGCACCACTGTAACTAGGCGCTGCAGCTTACTTTACCTGGCTGCTTGTGGCCAACCACAGGGAGAGCTCGGCTGCTGAGGAGAGGTTTGTTTTCATCTCTCGTCTACAGCTCAGCTCAGCCAGTTCAGGGTTAAGAACCATGTCTCAGTCTGTCAGAGTGACGTCCCGGCAGGGTTCCCAGTGTGATTAATCATAATAAATCACTGTGTCTGACAGGGTTGTAGAAATTCTGCCAGTTTATTTCAACACATTATATTTATTTTCATGTTTACCAACAATATTTACTTATTTTTAAGTACATTTGGGCATGCGTGTATCGTAATAATAGTAACGTCACTGACACAATACTGTGCACTTTACAAAGGTTGTGCCCAACAAAAAATTAAAAATGGTGATTTATTCATGCCGGGTGACTGTGCACATACTTTATAACTGTCTACCACAACATGTGATTATTATGTTGTACTTAAGATGGTAATTATTGGTACTATGTTATTTGGCTGCCATCTTCAATCAGAACAAAAGTTACTGTCACTGTGTGTCTACAGTGTTTGTGCCAGTAGTGGAAAGTAACAAGTACTGTAGTTAATTACAATTTTGCAGTACTTTCCATTATATGCTACTTAAATTATATTTCTACTCTACTACATTGTTCTGACAGTTTTAGTCAGTAGAATATAAAGTTACATGAAACTGAATATGTCAATGGTTTGTTCACAGCTTGTTTCTGCTGCCCCCAAGTGGCCAAAAATCACTAAGTGCATGTTTAAGTAAGATAAATGTAGGATTTACACGGAGGTATTGCCATTTTACCTAAGTTAAAGATTAAAGACAGTTTGTGTGCCATGCACTTTTATTGTAGCTGTGTGCTCTGTGTTGATCACTTGTATGATTGGCTGCCTGCACAGTTGTTCAGTTCCACGAGTCAACATGAAGCTGGACAGAGTAAATTATATAAATACATATTGACTTAATTGCTTGTTTGGTTTAGCAGCTGTGAAGCTGCTTATCAACTTAAGTCATGCTATATCAGTCTGCTTGCTTGTAGGAGCATTTTGGCTGTAATACATGTCACAGTAGGAAAAACAGGTGTAAATAATAAAATGAGTGATGGCTTAATTCCATTTAGCTGCTTTAGTTTAAAGGTTCTGGTATTGTGCATGCTACGTAGCTCACTGTGTCGCTTGAATACCACAGAGCCATTGTTAATGTTATTATTAACATCTGTGCTTTTCCTGTTCTGAAGGCCTATTCTGTGAAACAACATTATATGTGTGTGTGTGTGTGATCTCACTGGGTTTGCAATTCTGACATCTGTCAGAAATGGGGATGGTATTTGTAATTATCTGTCAATGCTTTTAAAATTTTTTAAAAATTACAAAATTATGCAATTATATATCCCACTCTACAAGATGTGCATAGTATATATGTATGAATCGACTGCTGAGGAAATACCACAAAGTGAGGCAGAGGTTCAGGCAGCAGCTGGAACAATAAAGACTGGATTTTGCTGGCATTGGTTCAGAGGGAGTTCTCGTGTGAAACCAAAGGACTGAAAACCTTCCAAGGTGAATAAAAAACAACAACAATAACAACAGGAACAGCAGAGTAGTTGACCAAGTGTTTCTGTAACGTGATTACATTTACATTTATTCATTTGGCAGACACTTTAGTTCAAAGCCAAGTGCACATGAGGTCACAGCAGATCAAGGAAAAGCCTTGAAGAATAAGTGCTCTGATACTCAGTTCAGTGCAAAAAGATTGCAGGTGCCTGAAGTAACATGTAAGTGCAATGGCCAAGTCACTTTTCTTTTCTTTTTTTTTTACATGTGAGCAATGGCTGTTGAACGCGCGGTGGCTGGAAAAACAAAGGGATGGATGTGGCGTTGTGGGTGCAACATGGGGCTGGTTGCGGTCTGATTTGATACAAGTTAACAAATAACAATTCCTGAGATACCTCGGTGTCTAATGCTCATGCTCGTAAATTTAGGGTGTTAATTTGCTTTTTCCCCGACATGATGGATTTTGACAAATGTTGCAAATAACTTGTAAATTTCTCCACCTGCTTCCAGTTAAAACCACCTTCATTGCACAACTTGGGTGAGCTTTCCATAATTAACAAAACAACAAAATTAGCTGCAGTATGCACATAGCCTGGTGGACAGGTCTGAAAAAATAAGAACAAGTTTCTGAGTTTAATATTTCTAAGTTCTTCATGTTTCGGTCTCACTGTGTCTATCATGGCTGCTGTTTTGTAGCTCACCCGCACATTTGACTTTTCCTCTGTAGGTCCCATGTCTAAACTTTGAGCTAACATCCATGTTAACAGCTCTTACAACAGAAAGTTCTGCTTACCTTTTAAATGGAGACACATAATTGGAGTTTTAATTTGCTCTGGCCTTGGTTTGGTTTGAGAAGTGCACATGAAACAATAAAAACAGTTAAACAACATTTTTTACATCTCTTCTCTATGCCCCCCCCCCCTT